AATAGGAGGGGATAAAATTAATAAGGGAGCCATCGTAAAATCTCCCTGGTCCCCTGGGAGCACCAGGCCTGATCATGTGTGGTACTATGTATTATATAAAGAAACGTCAAATAATTACAAAAATGAAATACGAGTAAAACAAATTCAGTTTCTTTGGTAACTCAGACAGGGAGAATAGTTGTCAGGTGTTGGTGAACGCTGGAATGTCACCCAAAATGTGGTGTGTCACCTTTGACACGTGTGTCATAGCTTCGCCATCACGGATCTAGTGGTTAAGACTCCAGGCTAGAAAGCAGGAGACTGTGAGTTCTAGTCATGCCTTAGGCATGAAAGCCGGCTGGGCAACTTTGGGCCAGTTGCTCTCTCTCAGTCCAACTCACCTCACAGGGTGGTTGTTGTGGGGAAAATAGGAGGAGGAAGGAGTATGAGGTATGTTCACTGCATTGAGTTATTTATAAAAATAATAAAGATGGGATTAAAAAAATCTTTTTGAAAAACAGATGCTTTGTCACTTCCCAAGAATCTTCTCATATGTGATCTTATATGTTCTTTTAATAAGCCCTTTATTTTTCCTAAGTACTTTTATTCAGGTTTACAAATCTCAGAATTTTAATCAGTAATGTAGCTGGTTTGTTACTAGCTAAATTATAACACTGTTATCATTTACTGACATAACCAACTAATCCCCCAAATAACTGCAAAGTTACATCTATATTATGCTGATATTATTGGAATTGTAGAGGCACAGCTCCTAGTTTTTTCCCAGCAATGAAAGGCAAGACTGCTAGTAAGTCATGAAAACTGTGTCTTGATTCTTCTACTTCAATGGTCCAAGTTCCAGACTCTCTCTCTGAAAAATATGGGGGAAAGGAGCTATATCAATTTTGCTATATACAGCTGTAATAGGGCACTGCATTATTCCAATATATGAAAGGCAAATTTCTGAGATCAGGTGGAGGTGAAATTCCCTGTGAATTACAACTTAAAACAATGAAAACTGCCCTGCTCCAAGCTGCTGCAGTTCCTGCAGTTTCAAAAATCCCTTCAGCACCCTGCATGAAACAAAAGTAAAAATAAAAACAAGCAAGCAAGCAGCCTTGCACTTTATCTTAGGAGGTACCAAAGAGAAGTGAGAAGCAGGTAAACGTCTTCTCTGGGCTAAGGAGGGACGTTAAAAACAGTCAAGTAGTATTTCCCTTGCAGTACCCAAACTCATAATCTACCAATACATGTGATCCTCAACTCTGTTTTTTAATTATTGGGACAATGAAAAAAATCATCAATCAAGTCAACAGAAAAACTTGAAAGGCTATCAGAAAGTGTAGAGAAAAGGTCAATACACAGTGTCATCCAGAAAAACTGGGTGCTAACAACATCCTCAAAGCTGTTCAACAAGTTCAGCCTTTCAAAGTAGGCTTTCTTAATACATCTGTGGACAACGGGCTATGCTCAAAGAAGGAAAACCCATAAATCATCTCATTCAAGGACTCTTGGTAGAAGCAACCAAATTCTCCATGCTTGTTAATCATTTGTTGTTTACATGGAACTACATAATACAGAAAATTCTGTAGACATGTCAGGCAAATAAATTTTACTGCAGATTTTTTGAAACAAAAAAACCTTACAGCTTTAAAAGCTTTCTCCAAGTTGTAGTTTTGCCCTTTTAACTAGGTAGCTGTAGAAAATTGACCAACAACCCATGTTTTATTTGAGAAATCAAATAGCCATCTAAGCTAAATATTACTCCCTTATTCTCTCTCATTAAATCTATGCTCATACCTTTCCATTTAGAGAAAGGGGCACTGCACGTATTAATTAATGAACACTTCAGGCTCTCAATTCCCTACCCTCTACCCAGCCTTCTTCTTTCTGGCAAGTTAAAAAACAAAACAAAACACTCCAGGTTGCTTCAGTGTTAACCCAGCAGGATGGAAGCAGGAATCTGTCATAGCCAATTCCAAATAAATTGCAAAGAGAGAGGTGAAGAAAATAAATGGAATGGGGAGATACAGGTGGAATGATTACCAATTATTAGACCCCAGTAACTATAACAATACTCAAAAATCTTCAATCTAGGTACCATATTACATCTTCCCCAGATATTTTAAATGCAGCTGTGCCCTTAAGATATACTACATTATTCCAATATCTCAAACATTCAAGAGAGATATTATGCTAAGCTATAATAGTTATAGTTGTTTTGGGGCTTATGTATCAACGCTCACATTGTTCAACAAACCAAGATCACAAATCCTGCATCAAAATTATGTGTGAATACAGCCACAGTTCTAAACCAGAGATTACAATAAAACCTGAATTGCATACTTTAAAACTTAAGATTTTCAATCTAAAGGGGCAAGGATTCAGAGTTGCACATATAGTTATTATTCCATCCTCAACACTCCCCTTTCTACAGAGCAGGAATTTTTCAGATGCATGGCAGTGGCCATAACTACAGCCACCCTTAGTGCAAACCACCGTGTACAAATCCTATCCACATTATGATTTCAGATTCTGGTTTGCTGATCCCAAACTATGATTCCTCAATTTATATTTTATAGAAATAATAGTTAAACTTCTTAGCATGGTTTCAAATAATGTCTAAAATGACTTACTAAGTTAGACATGGACAAAGTAAACCTTACTTCATACAGTCATTAAAATATTATTTACTAAGCATTTTATCTAATCTTTTAGCTGAAAAAGCTCTAAGAGCTAAATTGAGAGCTTAGATTGGATAAGGCCAGTCTGTTTGTTTGTTGGTTTACAAGTACTTTACGCCACTTCAATCAAAAAGAATCTAAGCAGCTTAGAAAAGTAATACACCATAAATAACCATATAAAACACACATATAAATATCAACAATTGAAAATTAGCAGCAGCAACCATTAACTATGCCCATATAACCCTAGTACCTCAACATCTCAATCCCCAAATGACTGCCTAATCAGCCAATTTTTCACTAACTTTTTGAATATTTATAATGAGGATGCTGATATTTCTGGGGGCAGCCAATACCACAGGAGGGGAGCTCTGGCAGAGAATGCTCCCTTTCAAGGTCCTTCCCACCATACCTCACAGGGGATAGGGACTCTTACTACTGCGTCTCTACTGACCCATCTTTGGTGGGCAGATTCTACATGGAGTAACAGGTGTGCAGATACCTAGATAGCCAGCCATGTAGGACTAATTGCTACTAGCACCTTGAATTGCTCCTGGAAACAAATTGGCAACCAGTGCAGCTCGTATGACAATACTGGGACATCTGTTAATACATGGGCGGCTGCATCCTATACCAGCTAAGTAAGTTTCCATGTGGTTCTTGGCCACTTTGGCATGTTATAGTAGTCCCTGTAGGACAGGATTTCCCAAACTGTGGGGTATACCTCCCTCGGGGAGGTGCAGACAGAGGCCAGGGGAGGTGTGAAGAATCTTTTAGTTGTACCTTGTTACAAGAAACCTACCTTCCCAAAGTTTCACTGTACTGTTTTCATTGTTCATTTGTGTTAATTTTGGTGTTTGGATTTTTAAGGGAGGTGTGAATATTAAGATTACACTAAAGGGAGGTATGATGGCAATACGTTTAGGAACCCCTGCTTTAGGTGGTGAGAAGGGCATGTGTGACTATGCCATATCTCCTGTTCCAGGAACTGGAACTGGTACACCAGCCAAAGCTAGACAAAAGCCTCTTCTGGCCACAGGGTTAACTTGGTTTTCAGCAAGAGCTGTGAGTCCAGGAGAACCTTCAGGTTACAGACAATCTCATTCTTGGTAAGCACAACCCCATCAAAAGTTAACAGAATCGATTTCTGTCTTGTTTGGGTTAACTCACAATTGGTCTGGGGTAGAAATGTACAACTGGATATCATCTCCATAAACCTCTAACCATTAAATGACATCTCTTAGTGGCCTCGTGTAGATGTTAAATAAAATGGGGAGACTGCTATAACTCCTT